ACATACAGGTAGATGAACAGGTGGGCTCTTGTTTCTGTGGTTTTCATTCAGGGATATGGGATTGACAGTTACCATCCTAGGAGCATTCTTCTGTTGCAACTCTATTGTTACCTGAGACAGCGTGCCAGAGAGGTACGTTTCCTCCTATAGGACAGTTGGGGGATGAGGGAGGAAATAAACGCTCCGTGAGTATTATTGAATGCAGAAGAGTGTCGTTTCCTCTTATACACCTGAGGTGGGAGTGGAGCTGGTGTCCTTTTTGAGGACAGGTGGGGTAGTGGAGAATTGTCCTGTTATCAAGCTGTAGTTAGCTGGAAGTGGAGCAGAGAGGAGTGACATTTATATGCCATGCAACTTGCAAAATGGCCTTCATGTGTGCTCATGTGACTAGAAAATGACTTTCAAAAACATAAATGGCATCATACTACCTAGTCTGCAATGCTTTAAAATTCATACTATATCTTTCCAAGTTGGTACATACAGAAGTGAATCTTTTTAATTGCTGCATAGTATTCATCAGCCTGGATAAACTGGTTTATTTAACCACTGGCCCATTGTGAACATTGGACCCTTTCCAACTTTTCATTATCATTGGCACTCTACAGAAAATCTGTATATTCACCTCTTTGTGTGCATGTGTATTTCTGTAGACTACTCCACTGAGAAATGGTATTGTCAGAGCAGTAGAATACAGGTGCATTTTAATATACAGTGTGTACTGCCAAATTACTTTCTACCCACAGTATGTGAGAATACCTGTTTCTCCTCATTCTCACGACTAAGTTTTCCTCCAGTATAGTGACAGATCTTATCTTGTTATCATTTTAATTGGCATTTCCCTGGTTACCAGTGTCAAAATCACTGGTTTAAAGAAGTGGTCAGAATCCATCTTGTCGTGTATTTATTGACCACTGATCTTTTTCTCTTTTGTGAATTGCCTGTCCATCTCCTATACCCATGGTTCTGTTGTTTCTTCTTGGTTTAAATGATTTATCCATTCTTGATTTCGTTATATGTGTTGCAATCTCAGACCACTGCTTGTCTTTTTAATTTATGATGTCTTTTCTCATCTAGAACTTTGAAGTTTGTGAGATAATAAAATTTATAGGTCTCTTCCTTGATGACTTTGCCTTCTGTGGCTGAAGAGGGCATTTCCTACTGCAAAACAATCAATGTACTTTTCTGTATCTCTCAGAATAACATTTTGGAGGGCTAAATCACACAGCTACGTTTTCCTATGGAGAGGAGTTGATTCCGCCACCTGCAAGTGGAACTTTCCAGGGTAGGGCCTTTCTGCCTGTCTACTCTCTGCCGTGCATTCCCAGGGCAGCCACATCTGCTGAGTGCTGGTCCTAACATTGCCTCAGAAGTGGCAGGAGAAAGTGGCCATAGTGGCCACAGGCCTGAGCAGGCCAATCCTCTCCTTAAACCAGACATGAGCTCTAGATCAGGAAGAGAATCCAAGAAGGGAGAGAGAAGGCTCATGACTCTGGCTCATCTCGTGTTAGGTGAAGAACAAGCCTCTTGGACCCAGATGACGGGGTCAATATTCTGAATTTCCTATATGAGGTCAAATCTCTGATTCTTTACCCTTGGAGGCATCATTGCCACTGGTTTTCTTTATAAGGAAAATGAGGCTGAGCAAAGCCAAATGCCTAGATTTAATGTTATGCCATGTTAAGAATCCAACTCTAATTTCTTTTTAGAATCCATTTTACTATTATGGAAGAGATGCTTTGCCTAGTTTCTTACTACTCATCAAACACTTTGCTCATATTATCCTGTGAAGTAGGTGCTACTATCCCTATTGTATAGATGAGAAAAGCAAGACTCAAGATTAGGTGGTGTAATCCAAGGCACACTGTGGGTAGTAGAAGTGCCAGAGCTGAAATTCAGAGTTTCTGCCTTCCCTTGTACCACTCTTCTTTCAGAGGATTTGCAAAAGTACACAAAGCTACCAGTATGAGAAAAGCACATTCAAAAGAATGTGCTAAATCCAGCAGCTAGCACAGGTGCTACTAATGAATTGTCTCCACCAAGTGGATATTTTCATTTTTGCTGGGACAAAGCATTTGGAAAACATTTGACTTTTAAGGAACACCTTGAAGGTTTCCTCCAACAGAATTCGCTAATTTAAAGGCACTGTATCTTACCGTTTGAAAACTTCAACATTTGAATGAGCTAGTGGTTTCTGTTTATTGCTAACCTGTATTCCTTTCAAAGCACCGCTTGAACTTCGGCTGAGAATCATTTTCAGCCAGTTAGTTTGTGGTTTATGACATCTATTTTTGTTAGTGGGAAATGTTTGCCATTTTTCCCAGGAGAACTAACTATAAATTATACTTCAGAGAACTAAGTAAATATGTTCATGCCTCAGCACTTTAATGCGTTAATTAGCTATTAAGGGTGTCAGTAAATTAGACCTGCCAAAAATAATGGCCTCCTTGACTAAGTTTTTCCTACCACTTCCCTTGATGGTGTTACTTATAAGTTTTGCCCTCAGGAACTGTTAAAAAGTGAGATTGTAGAGGTCTGCCTTGGGAAAAGATAAACTCTGAAAGAGTTGTTGGAAGTCATCTAAGGCCTGAGTCTGTGGGACTCATACCCCCTAATTTACAAACCTCGGGCTTACCAACAACTCGATTGACTGGCAGGGGGGTGTATCCTCTGCTCTTTGCTCCCCATTTCAGAAAATCTGGCCAGTGATTTTCCTTGTAAGTTGCTGCCTTTTGTGCATGTGAAAAGTTAGCAAGTTATTACTACTGTTCTTATGCTGGAGAGAGGTACCTCACTTTCCAAATCAGGGGTCTGGTTGGCACGAAAGAAGGACCTGACTAAACAAAACCTACTCTTTCCATCTCTCGTGTTCGTGCCAAGAGACCCAAGCAGGTGCTCCTGCCAGCTGGAGGACTGGGATAGGAGATCTCAGAACAAGAATTCTCAGGAAAAATGTTATGGGCAGTGGTTATGTAAAGTGTAAAGACTATTGTTATTTTCCCTGCCTTATTAAGGATTGAATGGGTTGGCCTGGGATTCTACTCACTGTTTACCATCTGGGAAATACTTTCCGTGTTCTAAATGACCAGATGGTAGAACTTAACCTTTGGTAAATTCCAGACAACCTGCCTTTTCTGTTAATAAAGCCTGCATGATAACTAAAGTAAATGCAAATTATGGTGCATGCTAACGTTTTCTAGGAATATATATAGAGAGTCTTTTAAATTTATATTTTTATGTGTATATGTTAATATATACTAGGCTACCCCCCTTTTTGTTTGTTTTATGACTGCAAGTAGAGTCAGCTAAAATACCCAAAACTGTAGACTAAAATGGATTTCACAGAAATAATGAAACCACACTGTCGCAGCAGCTCTGGTGGTAAATGATGACTCTGTTTGGGTTATCCTCACTGACTATCTTTAATCGTGCGAGGGACTGACAGGCTTCCTCTCTCAGTCTTTCCTCTACCTGCTCCCTGGGCTCTGGCTGGGGAACTTGAAGGTTGACGTTTTTAAAATAGAGCTGGTCCAAGTACTTGCCAGCAGAGACCCAAATAGCCCTGCAGCATGATTACTGCTACCAAAAGAAGCCTTCGTTATCCTGTTTTGCTAAAAATAAATTTCTTTTGCTGTTTTTGATAGCCACAGCATTAGTGAAATTATTTTTTGTGTGAAAGTAGCTCACACTCTACAGTAGAAGGTCATTGCCACTGCAGTCTGCATTTGTGGGGTCTAAAGTGTATTACAATTAAGTAGAGCAGCTCCTGTTTGCTCTTCAAAATGGACCCAAGGAATAGGATTAAAACTTCAAATTTCATTCCTTCCCAAAGAAACAGGGACTGGAGGCCACCAGCATTTGCTCCCTCGATTCATGACTGTCATGGCCTTAGAACTGTTATTTATTATAGGCTTTGCCTGAACACTAATAATGAATGACTTGCCATACCTCGCCATTTAAGCATTTTTTCCGATTAAAAAGTTTAATTCCAAATGTAAACCTGATGTGGGTATGTGTTCATTTGCTTAACAAATATTTACTTAATACCTCGTATGTGCTACTGTCACTATTTCGGATTGAAATATGGCACTGTTTCAAACTGAAATGAAAATGACTTATGTGGTCAAAATTTATTAGTTTATACCCTATTAATTTAAAAACTTGGACAAAAGCCACGCTGAGGTTTACCATCACCCTGGTTGTGCAAATAAAAATACGTGACCAAGAAAACAAATGGTGCAGGAGGAATGATCAAACAAACTGACAGAACACACTTTTCAGGGTTCTTTGAAGGTATCCACTTACAGGCAAACACTTGATTTGATCATTATAAATTACTCTTCTACAAAACAGTGCTTTTTCAAACCCTATTTTATTAAATGTGCCCTAAAAATAATACCACATCACTAAAATACTTCTTGATTTAGATTCCTCACAGTTCATGATGAAATTTCAGTTAGTTTCATTCATTAGCTTTCACTGATACGGGAAGGTTTGACCCTTTGGGAGCTCTTGCTGCCCCATTATAAATTTTATAATGTCAAAAACATGAAAACGTCATTTAAAAGATCTGATAAGCAAAGAAGTTAGAGGGTCGTGATAGTGGAAGGTGATGTTTTTCACAGTGACAGTCAGCATTATATAGATTTTATAGTCTGATCTGGGATGGAATCTATTTCTGCCGCTTACTAACTCACCTCTGGTTTATCATGTAACCTTTGTGTGCCTCAGTTTCCTCATCAGTGAATGCAGGAGTAATAACACGCAGAGATCTATCCTGAGGATTATGCATAAACTAAACTTGAAAGTGTGTGACATAGCATTGGCACTCCGTATAGATTCACTTGCTCTCTGTTCTTGCTTATCTTGCATCATGTTTTAACCATTATGGTTATTTTTTTTGGAAAACAAAGCAATCATCCAAAATGACAATGTAACGTGAGGACGTCTCCCTGGACAGCCACATGATCTGTGTTAACGGAAATGACCTACTCTAATTGCAGGTTATATCCAGGCATGTAGAGGACTTATGATTGCTGCTGTCAGCCTGGGCTTTTTTGGTTCCATATTTGCACTCTTTGGAATGAAGTGTACCAAAGTCGGAGGCTCAGATAAAGCCAAAGCTAAAATTGCTTGTTTGGCTGGGATTGTGTTCATACTGTCAGGTAAATAGTAACTTTCTTCCAAACAAGGTGCTTCACGATGTTAATGAAATAACGCTAATCATAGTACTTTCCCTCTGATACTTTTTAGGGCTGTGCTCAATGACTGGCTGTTCCCTGTATGCAAACAAAATCACAAAGGAATTCTTTGATCCGTTCTATGTTGAGCAAAAGTAAGTACTCTTTTCAGTCTGTAGGTTTCTAGTTCATGGGAAATGTATGTAATTTAATGTTCTAAATTAAGAGACATGAATTTCCTATATGGCTTTCGAAAGCGAGAAATACTGATAAGTGGTATCTGATGACATCATCCAAGATTAAACGTTGTATGTGCCACATAGGCAAAAGATGCAGTTAATTACTTCATTAGTGTTACATAATGTCTTGTCTCTAAATAGCTCAAGGCATGGGATTTAGAACTATAAACTTCATCCATTATACATCATAACATTGAAGTCAAGGAGAGGAAGAGTAGAAGAGAACTGTTTGATGGGGAGGAAAGAATGGTGAGGTATGAGAATAGCAAATTAAAAGCTTGCCTTGACTCTTCTCCACCCAGCATGATATTTGCCAGATGCTAGTCTCTGAGCCTTTTAAATTTGCTCTGTTAACTGATGCCTTGATAAACTCTATGTGAAGCAAAATTATTTTTAAATGCTCTAGGAGCATGGCACCAACACCCAGGTGGGGCTGGTCTCCCTTGCAGATGAGTGCTTTGGAATTAACAGATCAGTTTGTTTGTTGGTGTTGTTTTTACACTTGATCTTAGCCAAAAGGCCGAGAAGCGATGTTGGTGTTGTTTTTAAAGTATGGGCTGTTGCTTTTTATAGTTTCTCTAAGCTTATTTCTTTGGATTGAGAAAACCCCAGGGATACCAAATCAGAAATAATAATATATCAAATATTTTGTCTTATATGAACACATAACCACATATCACTTTAGGAAGACGCTTGTGTATATGTGTGTATTCTTATCAACCAGGCTGATAATTTTCTTTCAGTCTTCAGATCAAATATTATAGAATTTTGAAAGTATATTACTGAAATAGCTGGTTAGGTAGGCATTATTTTTTTTCTGGTAGGTTTAGGAATCTTCAGGAAATTGATTTTCTAGTTCTGTCTTTAGTATAGTTTATGCATAAATAGCAAATGCTTATATCATGAAATATAATGAAAACAATAGCCAACATATGTTGAGCCCCCACCATGTGCCAAGCAAATGTTGTTTTATTATTATATTTTATTCTTACAACACCCTTACGAACTAGGTCCTCTTGGTACTTTCTTTTTTAAAACTGACGAAAGAGGTAATGTGTCCAAGGGAACTTGGGCTAAACTAGTAGGCTGGCTGAACTGTGATTCACACCAGGCAGTTGAACCCTAGCATACTTGCTCTAACATGCACGATTTATAATATTCTATTATTCCATAATTTTCGTGACAATATGCCACATATACTTTTCATCAAGGGCGTTTCTTTTGCACACTTTAAAATAGTGTTTATTCAGAAATTTTATTAAATGGAAAACAAAAATGACTGTTTTAGAGCCCAATATAACTTTTTCTCTCTTGCCTATGTTAGAAAAACATGTCCTGATTCATAAATTTTCTCCTTTTTGATGAGATTTGCACAGATCTACATAACAGCAAACATTGAGATGAAAACTGAGACCATATTCCTGAAAATTAGAAATATTTTAATGACATTCAAATGAAACATTATATTGAAATAATAAATTTTTATTTCAGGGTTTGGTATCATAAATACACCACAAAACTGTATTTCTCATTTTATTAAACACATTGCTAACTTTTCTGGATTCTCTTTTCTACGCTGCTGTTTTTATTTTCCTCACAATTGTTAAGTATATCTTTGCACCTTAAAAATCATTTGAATTTTTCCTCCGTCAAAGTTAATTCATGTATGCACAGTAACTTAAACCTGTGTTGGTGTGTTTTCTGTGCTTGCTATGTGTTTGGTAACCTGATTCAGTTCAGTACCGTTGGAATCTCTTATCCTCCTTGCAGGTTTTGATTAAACTCAGTTCAGCAATTACGTACTAATTTTTCTCTTTTCCAAGTTCTTCGTGCTACATTGAACTATCTCCCATTCCTACTCTTAGCTTCCCCCGCATTCTTCTGCCTGCTCTCTGTGTCTGTATTCTCATCTGTAAAATAAAGATAGTAATAGTATGTCTCTCATAGCATTGCTGTGAGAGTTAAGAGAGGAGAGAGATATATGTACGTATACATAATGGGCACAGAGCAAGCACCTTGTGTTAGCTCTTATTGTGTTGTATTAACTATTATTAAGATTGCTTTTTAATTCTGTGCAGTATATAGGATGTGGCCTATCTTTATAGACATCTTTATTAGCACTTTTCTGCAATGACTTAAAAACCTTAACATAACACCTAGAGTTTACCGATTTACCGTATATAGTTAAAAGCACAAGAGCTAGGGGTCATGAAAAACAGCACTGCTTACAAATTGGTAATATCTACACATAATAGGCTGTTCACATCAAGCTCTACAGAAAATATAGACTTTATTAAAAATCCTGTGAATTGACAATGCATTGGCTCCTTGACATTAGGAGTGTCTCTCCCTAATGGCTCTATTCCCTGCAGTGCCTTGCCCAAAGAAAGATCCTCCGTGATTTAGATAAAATCCAGTTGGATCAAGGAATTATCAAGGCCTGAGAATTGTAAATATGTTCAAATTCTAATTACCTACCACTATAGAAAAGAGGCATAAAAATGACTTGTGACACCCACAGAAACTCACAAACCTCATTTGAGTAAAATATGCTTCTATAAAAACCAATATATCAACTAATGTGACTTTGTCTGGTTTCCCTTTACCAACACCTTGTAGCAGAGGAGAAGGGGATGAAAATTAGGAAGGTGAATGAGCTACAAATTAGCTATCAGCACAAGATAAACTGGTCTCAAAGGTCTGAAATGTCATCATCTTTAAAGCAAGATTTTATTTTTTGGCACACTCTAGGGATAGCACTTCCTTGGATGGACTTTGCTAGAATTTAATAAATTGATGCCTCTCATTGTGTTTGTACTTGAACTTAGAGAGGAATATGTCATAGAATTAAAGCTTACAGCAGGGCAGACCCTAGGTTAGGTGGGATTTGGAAGATGCCACTATAAGGAAGTTTCTGAGTATTTCTTTGGTGTCTTAATCGACTGGCATGAGAATTAAGTAAATTTGTTGAGGCCAAAAAACATCTATTTCATCTCTGTCTTCTTTGCTTAGCACAGTACCTGGAAGTGAAATTCTCATCTGTAAATCTAGTCCTTTCAAGATTAGCAGAAAAGCTTTCTGTTGTCTCAGCAGACAGAGGGAACCTCTGAGAGGATGGAGCCACAAGGCTCTCACTTCCCATCATTATCACACATTAATCTTACAAACCAGCCACCCCAAACGCCAGCCCTCCCTGCAGCCCTCGAAGGTGTGACTGCGGCATGGGTGGGCATGTGTCTGGGCCCTAGGAAGGGTGGTGAGAAACAGCTGCTAGCCACATAGTATAGTTTAAATTTCTGGAGAGCAAATACTTGCTCTCCAATACCCAAACCCTGAAATGCTCTGGAAAACAGTTTAGGCCCCAGAGCGTGGTTTTGTTGTTATTGTGTTTCTGCTGTTGTTGTTTTCTTTGGACTTATATACTGTATTAATTGGATCTTCTTTGTGGATTTCCAGGACATCCCGATATAAGGCACACCGTGGTGGCCTAAATTAGAAAAACACAGCCAAGCTCATAAACCGAGTTCCTGCTACATTCCTGCTATGAGCGGGAACTCCACAGGGGTTTTGTTGATGAGAAAAAACAAGTGGCTTCTAGTATGGAGTTGGAGTAAAGATACAAACATGCAGTATTGCACTTTGTGTTCAGTGGCTTTTTACTCCAAAAGCCTTCATTTCCCACCATATTTCTGGGAAGATATTTCTTGCAAGCTACAATCGTTTGACAGAATTGCAGTCTGTCAAGAGTTTCATGGTGTTCTGCTATTTCCCCACTTTTCCCTTTTGTTTTACTTCCTTTCACTCGAGTTATGAGTATCTTTGATGACTCCAGCATGAGCTGCAGAGCCCTGAAAACTATTTCTCCTTTAGGCTATGTGAAACTAACTTCCTCCTTTTTATTAAAACAAAACTACCAAGTCTGAAAAAAAGATCTCCTGCAAGCTTATGGTATTAGGTACCCCTTAGTGTGACTCACTGTACCAAGGTGTTGAAATTTTTTTTTTTTTTTTTTTTTTTGAGACACAGTCTCACTGTGTTGCCCGGGCTAGAGTGAGTGCCGTCGCGTCAGCCTAGCTCACAGCAACCTCAAACTCCTGGGCTCAAGCGATCCTCCTGCCTCAGCCTCCCGAGTAGCTGGGATTACAGGCATGTGGCACCATGCCCGGCTAATTTTTTCTATATATTTTTAGTTGTCCAATTAATTTCTTTCTATTTTTAGTAGAGACGGGGTCTCGCTCTTGCTCAGGCTGGTTTCGAACTCCTGAGCTCAAACCATCCGCCCACCTCAGCCTCCCAGAGAGCTAGGATTACAGGCGTGAGCCACCGCGCCTGGCCAAGGTGTTGAAATTTAATTCCATTATTCCCTCCATTGTTTTGTTATCCAAACCACTAACTTCCTGAACGTCTTGCTTTGTTTTCTTAGATAAACTATTCCAAGTAAGAATTGATGGACATAAAGAAACTTCTTTCCAAAGCATACAATTATATTGCTTTTGACCAATTGCTCTAGTTGAGGAAGCAGAATTATCTTAGATTTACTCTCTTTTCATATACGCAATTTGTCATTAATATTTTGGCCCAGATATTCTCATGTTTCGATCTTATCATCCTCTAGACTTTTCTATTTTCAGACTTTTCAAAACTGTGGAGCAATCTTCAGTCCTGACATATGTTTGGTTTCTACTTTAGGATGTAAGCTTTACTTAGGTAAAATCTTGTCACCATTGTGGCTATTTAGTATTAGAAGGAAACAGCTGCCTACATTCGGACGACTTCTCTTATTCTTCTTGTCTGTCAAGTTAAATGAACAAAAGACAATTCAATAAATACGTTTCTAGATTACACAGATTTTCCTGGATGAGGTTGAAAAGAATAGCAACCTCACCAGATGACCTTGTCAAAATATATCTCTTCTG